GATGTTTCCTCTGGGTCAAGAAAAGGGAGTTCAGGCCACCAAACATCACACGCCTTCCTCTCGGATCTCAAGGGTTAGAGGGGGAGAGGGACCACAGACTGCTTCCCCCCAGAGTGCCCCAACCCAGGACGTCCAGGGAGAGCCAGATGCACACAGCTGCCTTGCCCCCGAGCCTCTGCCCTTTCCGCTTGGAGTGGCACAATGGAAAGAGGTGGCTCTGGGCCGCCCTCCCTGCCTGTCGGAGGCCAGGCAAATTCCTCACCAATCACAGGGCTCGTGCACACGTGTGACACACATGATCTGTTCACCGGTGCTCGTCACAAGCACAGACATGAGGCTGGGCATGGTGGTGCATTCTGTAATCCCTACACTCGGGAGGCTGAGGCAGGAGGACAGCCTGAGCTACATGTAGTAAACACAAGGTCTGAACTGCACAGCGAGACCCTGTCTCAAAAGCTCCACAGAAATACAATCATGAATATACCTGCGCGCATGCACACATATCCACCCACACCAGCCTGCGTGTTCGCAGGCACACATACATGTGTGTACATATGTGCACGCACACACACACACACACACACAAGTGCACACACAACCTCCCTTCCACGGTCCCTTCACGTCTCATCACTGGGTGATGCCTCAGAAAGTAGCGGGGAGTCAGACGGGACCCTCCTGAGTCAGAGCTTCCACACATCCCGGAGGCCCCCAGAGGCCAGGCCTCTTCTCTGGACACCTGGAGCTGTCTCTGACCTGTGCTGGGGAAGGGGCTCTTGGCAGCAGGAAGAGGAAAGAACCAGGTCCTGGGCTTCTCTGGAGGACGGAGGCAGCCGCTGTGCTGGAGAGGTGCTGCCCACAACTGTGCCAGGGCTGCAGTCTCAAAGCTTGGAGCACTTGGCCCTTCTCTGGGCCCGGGCATCTCTCCTGTCCTCCTCTGTGCTTGTCTGGAGCACGGCTGGAGGGGCGGCCTCGCCTCCTTGGCACTGTCCCCATGGCTGGCGGGCTGGCAGGGGTGGGGGCAACTTCCCAAACTGTGACTCAGCACCCCTGGAATTCGGTGTCGGGGCCAATTCTGACACTTTGCTCATGGGGGACCGGAGGTCCCCTGGGATGGGGAAGGGAGGGCTCCAGGAAAGAGGCCCCAGAGGTGGGGGCTTGGCCCGCCCAGCGCCCCCAGCCCCTCCTGCCTCACCCCGGTCAATCTGGCTGTGTGGGGTTAAGGCAGAAGCCTGGGACAGGGGGAGGGGGAGTCTGTGGGTGGGGACCAGGGGTCTCAGGTACAGGGTTCAAACCAGGAAATCAGCAGGTGCCAGTGAGGAGTTGGGGGCCCGGACGCCCCTTTTCAGGAGAGTGAGCGACGGGTCCAGCCCCGCAGTGGGAAAGGTCAGGAGAACCGTGAGAGACAGGAAGGCTGGTCTGATCCCACACAGACCGCGCGCGGAGGTGAGAGGAAGGGAGTCGAGGGGCAGAGGTGCTGCGGGGGACTGGGGGCAGGTCGGGGAAGCCGGGCTGGCAGTCACAGCCCACAGCGCGGACGTTTCTGAGCTGCTTCCCAGTGGTTTCCTCAGTCCTACTTCCACTGAGTTGTTTCTAAGCCATTAAATTCTTTCCGGACGAGATAAGACCCTGCCCGGCCCTCCCGGCGCGTCACGTGTGTCGGGGGGGCAGCTGGGAGAGCCCGGGAGGGGACAGAGGAGCCGGAGCCCCGCGCCCCAACCTCGCTCTGCGCTGAACTGTGAGTCATGAGCACAGCACACCCGGCCAAGAACAAGTTTAGGGATCCGACTGCAGGCTGCGTGCCCTTCCCCAACCTACCTCACTCAGCGTTGCCCGCGGGCTGCAGCCTCCCAGACCCCGCCCAGGCCTGGGACCTGCTGCGGCCACCGGTCACGGGGCGACCCCATCTGGACCCGGGGAGCCCCTCTGGCACCCGGGGAGCCCTGCTCAGCAGCTCCAGCCGCGGGATGGGGACCCCGACCGCGCTTCCCCAGTCCAGCTGGCCTCAGCTCAGCCTGGCACCCCACCAGTCAGTGTCTGCACCCCGGCGCGCGGTCGGCACCTCAGTTTGTCCCCAGCCCTCTCGGCGCCGGCATCACGCTCAGACCCGGAACCCACTGCCTCCAGCACACCTCTGCCCCTGCCTACTGGGCTCTCCCTGCCCGTGGAGCTGCGGGGCTGCTGCCCGGGACACATCCGCGCCCCACACGCCCTGGCCGGGTGCAGTACAGCCAGTGTGGGTCTCCAGGGCGCCGCCTTACCTGGACCGTGGGCGGCTGCCGCGCCTCTGCACCTGCTCTGTCCCCAGCTCCGGGAGGCAGCTGCCCCGCAGGGCTGGGAGGGCTCCCCCTGGCAGTTCTGGACTCCCGGGAGGTCCTCTCACTCGTCCCTCACAGCAGAGGCTCACCAAGCCACACCGAGACTGACCGACCCTGGATCTGGGCGGCAGCGGAAAGAAGGAGGGAGCCGGAGGCGCAGGGGGAGGAGAAGGGGAGGGTGAGTGAGGTCAGGGAGGGAGCACGGCTGGGCCAGGGCCTCCCTCCCTCCCAGACGTCACCCTCCCTGCCTCCTGCCAGCACCGCCGAGTCCCACCGAGTCCCACCTCGCTCTCCTGTCCCCTTTCCACTGTGTCTCCTTTTCCCGACCCTGGTTTCTGCCCGACCTCACATCCCTTGTGCCGTTTCCCTCCGTCCTGTCGCTCCCCACCTGTGGCACTTGCGTTCTTCTCCCTCTGGATCTCACCCCCATCTGTTGCTCAGCTTGGGCTTCTTTGTCCTGATTCTTTAGCAGCTGGGGTCACACGATGTGGGGTTCCAGATGTTTCTGTGCTGAGCCCACTTCCGTCTCACCACTGCTCCACCTGCACCCCTGCTTTCCCCGTCCGTCCATCCGTCTGTCCACGTGCCCCTCTGAACCACCCGTGTCCTTCCCCGCCAGTCTCCTGTTCTTGAGTCTCTGGGATCTTGATTATTGTATGTCTAGGTGTAGATTTCTTTTCTTTCTCTTTTTTTTTGAACATTGCTAGTTGGAGTCCTATATGCCTCGCTGATCTGTATGTCAAACGGTTCTTATCTTGAGGTTCCTACTCCCTTTCCATCTTCCCACCGCAGCAAATTCCTAGAGACGTGGTGGTGGGATGGGTTGCTGACCGGGCAAGGACTTGGCTGAACACCAGGGAGAAAGAAAGCCTGAGGGGTGGGAGCAAGGTGTAGAGGCAGGAGTTGCAGATGGGGGCACACCACGGGGCGAAGCTGAGGAAAGCAGAAGGGAAGGATGCCTGGAGGGTGGGCAGGGAGAACATTAGGGGCTGGAGGAAAGGGCAGAACAGACGGGCAGACTCAGCAGAGAACCAGGTCCCTTGGAAGCCCGCTCGGCTGGGGCTGCCCTGCCCCAGTTGGGGAGGTGGCCTTTGCCATGGAAGAGAGACATCCAGCCGACAGGAGCCCACTCCAGGCTTTGCACCGAGAAGTCCCCTAGCGCCTCTGACTGCGCCAGGTCCCCTTGGCCAAGGGACAAGTGTGGAGAAGGGACACGACCGGCCCAGTGGCGCCACACGTGGGCCCAGGCACAGGTGTGCCTGCCTTGGGTCAGGCGTGCAGCCCCGAGTCATAGGGCGCTGCACAGCATGTGGCTGAGGACGGGAACACACATGGGCGCTTGCATGATGTCCCCGTGTATGTCCGTGTGTCTGGGTGTGTGTGGCTGTTTTTTCCTGGCTTTGATGGGGAAGATGATGTCAGCCTCTTGGACAGAGCTGGGCGCAGCTTCCTTCCTCCACCTCGGCCTGATGCCCCCAGAGCCTGAGTAGGTAGTGGCCCTGGTGAGCGCGGAGGTGAGGGAGGTCTCGAAGCAGCCTTGCACGGGGACAGTGGCGTGCGCAGAATGTCACTGTCCTCTGACACCTCCCTACTTCAGACGTGTGCTGAGTGGATGCACCTTCCTGAGCCAGCCTCAGCCCTATTCAGCCAGTATGGTCACCATAAGTACCCCTGGCCAGAGATCAGGAGGCTCTGGAGACCAGCAAGAGCCAGCAGGATGACCCTGGGGTGCTCTGGAAACTCACTGCTGGGGACTGGGTGTGGGGGTGTCAGGCAGGAATGTGGAGTTCCAGATGTTTGAGTTTACAGGGCATTTGGGGGAGCCACTGGAGGCTTGGCATAGTTCCAGGTTCTGAAATACTCATTGCTTAAAATTTGACTCATCTGGATTTCAGTCTCTTGGAGGACCTTGTTTTTTGCTTGTTTGCGATGGTCTCACCATGTACTTCAGGCTGGCCTCGACCTCATGGAGGTCCTCCTGCTGCCTCCGGAGAGCTGGGATCACAGCATGGCCACCGTGCCCAGCAGGACCTCTCCTGTCTTACGGATGGTTCTCATCAGAAAAGCACCAAGCCCCACACAGCAGGTGCCTAGTAAAGGCTTGTCAGTCACAGACTGTGAAAGGGTTAGGACAGGATAGGGAACCACAGGCCAGAGGGCAGGAAGCCCACAGGTCAGACTGGGCTGGCTCCATGGGCATGTCCTGGGTGGCAAGCAGAGGGCATGGACTGTCCAGAACTGTCCCTGACTTGGACTGCTCCAGCTCCCTCAGTCTAGGTGTCCGCAGCTCTCAGCCTCCATCCTTGACCGACCCTCCAGGTGCCGCTCTGGACCTCAGGTTACAGGATGGAAGACGTAGGCAGAAAAGCGGCAGGAGGAGCGCCACAGGTTCAAGGCCAGCCTGAGCTACACAGCAAGTTCAGGTCTAGCCTGAACTACATAGTGAGACCCTGTCTCCAAAAACATAAGTGAAAAAGAAAAGAAAGGAGGAAAGAAAGAAAAGAGGAAGAGAAAAGAAAAGGGGAAAGAGGAAGAGAGCAGAAGATAAAGAGGAAGGGCAATCAAGGGCAAGGACCTGAAGAAGAGAAACAGAGAGGCCAGAGGCTCTGATCCAAGGAAGCAGCCCCAAGAGGGGAGAGATAGGAAACATTTGCACTGGCTCCCGTTTACACAGCGGTTTCCTACAGAGCTGGCATTTTATTAATCCCACTTCGTGGTGAGCAAACAGAGGCTCCCAGATGTCGGGTCTCTGTCCAGGACTTTGACGGTGGTGAAGGTGGGCTTCTGATTCCAGAACTGGGCTCTCTCTCCCCTCCTGTACAGCTCTGGGAAAGGCTGGGGCTGAGGACTTGAGCCAGAAGCAAACAGAGTGGCTTCTTGAAGGACTTGCTGCAGGGTGGGAGGTCTGGACTTCTGTAGCTTCTTCCTGCATCCAGTTATGATGCAGACTGAGTGAGAAGAACCCACCTAACAGTGTGTGTGTGTGTGTGTGTGTGTGTGCGCGCGGGGCCGTCAACACTCAACGTGGATAAGGCAAGGAGTGAGGCCGAAAATGCTGAAAGCTAAGAGCCCGAGAAGAGAGATCAAGAGAACTAAGAGGCCAGAGCTGAACAGGGACAGGAGAGCCAGAGAAGGGTCTAGACCTTAGAACTTCCCTTGCCCGGAGACATGGGTGTGGGGAGAAGGGAGGAGGGAGGACATTTCTATCTCGTGACAAAAGAAAAGTCACACAATTGTTTTGTTCTCGGTTCTGGGACGGGTGGGCGCTTGTATTTACCAGTGGGACCAAGGTCGCTGTGGTAACCACACATCTGGGCCCCGGAATCCAGATGTGCTGTATCGAGAGGCCATAGCAGAACGATGAGGCAAACATTAGGTTCCCCAGTCCTGGCCCCCACAGCTGGGAAGAGGAAGAGAGCTGGGTGGGAAAGAGAAGGGAGCAGGGGGATCAGGGGGAGGAGGAGGAGGGGGAGGAGGGGGAGATTGGAGTGCGGAGGGAGAGGGAGCTATGGAAAGAGACAAGGAATGTGGCCAAAGGAGTAGAAAGGGAGACAGAGGGAGTTGGCATGCATGGGGTCAGCAGCAGATGACAAGACCAAGAGAAAATGCAACAGACAGACCGAGAAGCAGACAGAGGGAGAAAATACAAAGCAAAGGAGGGACAAGGGAGCCCAGGAGCACAGGGTCAACAAGATGGCGACGCTGAGCTGGGGCAGAGGGCAAAGAAAGGCAGGTGAGAAGTCTGGGGAAAGAGGAGCAGAAGGGACACCAGGGGACAGAACGTGGGGGTCAGAGGAAGGAGGCAGGAGGTGGGGACCTGAGGAAAGCCCAGACCTGGGGCTGGCACCAGCGCCGTCCTCCTGGCCACTGCACTCCTGGTTCACACCCTAGGGCCGCTGTCCTCCGCCATGCAGCAGAGGCGGTGTGGCCCCCCAGAGCCCCAGCACAAGACACGGCAACTCAAGCACTTTGCTGCCTGGGGTCAGGAGGAGAAAGAACAGCAAGTTAGAGGACCCAGTGAGATAGAGGATGGAGAGAGGACAGGAGAGGGGAGCAAAGAGCGGGCCTAGGCGGCAGCGTTGCTGAGGCCTGTCTCGGATGGGTCACGGAAGCCCAAGGGTCCCAGGACATGGCAGGTTAACAGGCAAGGCCTGAGCCCGCTCAGGAGAGCTGGTCCCAAGGTTCCGGCTCTCACGGCATTACCTCCAGTACAGCCCGGAGGCCGGAGGGATCCTGGACAGGAAGCTCGGCCAAGCACCAGGGCTGCCCCTGGAGGGAAGTGAGCTCTAAGTTCCTGGGAGCCCCAGTTCCAGGTTACCATAGTTACTGGGTCTGTTTTCCCCCCAAACACTGTTGGGGCGGGTGCTAGGCAGGGATAGCCTGGCGGGACACGTGAGGCGCTTCCTCCCTCCTCCGGGCCTGGCCTCTGGCCCAGCAGCCCCTGTCCAGTCATCCGGGCATGGGGCCCAGGCCGGCTCACACCCTGCACTGACCCGGGCTGCTCCTGCCGGTCAGGCCCGGGGCGCAGCTCGCCGGGGCTCCCCAGGTGGGGCTGGGACTCCTCTTCCTCCTATTCAGAACAGTCTCCTCTCCCCGGGCCACGCGGGTTTCACGTGTCCTGTGAGGACCCTCGGAGTGAGGCTGTGGATCCCCGCAGCTCGTCCCTTCTCCCCACACGGTCCGTCCCCCGCGGCCCCCTTGCCGGGCTCCACACTGGCTCCGCACCCTCTGCCCCAGACGCTGCTGCTTTCGAGCTGCTCATCCTGCAGTGAGGGGAGGCGGGGACCCTGAGCCCAGGGTGTGGGCCCCTCCTGTTTACTCAGACACTGCAGCAACTGTATCCTCTGGTGTCCGCCACAGACTCTGCCGGGTCACAGGGTGGGCCAGGGACGACATGACGTGAGGTCTGGACCCCACCCCACGCCACGCCAGCTGTTCCAGTGCTTGGTTCCCTGATGTTGGCCCTGTGGAAGTCACAAGCCAGGAAGGAGGCCACCATCCTTGACTCCCTCCACTTTATTTAACAATAAAAAAGATACACACGCATAAACCTCATCTCCCTCCACTACCCCTCCTTTATTCCCATTAACTCCGAAATGTAAAAACTTCCCTTGTCCCACCTGGGGACCAATGTCCCAGCTCGACACCCCAAACAGGAACAAAGAACAGAGTGTGTGAGCGCCTCCCCCAAACCGAGGCAGCAGGCACTGGGGGTTCGGGGAGTGAGGAGCCCTACATTCCAGAGAGGGGAACCACCCCGCCCCGAGTAAGTGCTGAACCCCAGTCCTGTGCCGGGAGACCAGCAGACCCCTGGGTACTGCGCCTCCCCCAGTCCGAGTCAGGGGTGACTGAGGTAGAGAGGCTGGCGGGAGCCCCGGTGGGCCTGGCTGGCCGCGGA